AGAGAGAGAGAGAGAGAGAGAGAGAGAGAGGGAGAGAGGGAGACAGGGTGACGTCCGCAGAACGAATTGCTGCTAGACGAGATCCTCTCCGGAAAAAATATATATATATATTTCCAGTGTATATATCTTGTATATACAGAGAGAGTCGAAGGGAAGAAGATAGAGGGAGGAAAGCAGAACAACAGGAGAATACCAAGGAGGGAGGGAGAGGGACGGCGTGAGGGTGGACTAAAGTGAAGAAACAGGATCTGGTGGAAGAAAGAGAAGCAAAAAAAAAAATCTGCGCTCTGATTCACAATGTGACAATATATATATCAGCAGAGAGAGTCGAAGGGAAGAAGATAGAGGGAGGAAAGCAGAACAACAGGAGAAGACCAAGGAGGGAGGGAGAGGGACGGCGTGAGGGTGGACTAAAGGGAAGAAACAGGATCTGGTGGAAGAAAGAGAAGCAAACAAAAAAAAAAAAAGAATTCGGTGAGGCAGAGAGAGCAAAGGAGAAAGAGTCAAAGGAAAGAAGAGGGGAGGGAAGGGGGCGAGGGACGAGAAAAAGCGTGATAGGGGGAGGGGGCGGGGAAGAGGAGGAAGGTTGGGGGGAGGGGGGTCACGAAAGGAGAATGGTGTGAGAGGGAGGTGGTGGTTAGGAAGGAAAAGATGAAAGGAATAGGGAGAGCGAGAGGGCGGCAGGTGGAGACGAGAGAAAGGATGAATGAAGAGAGAGGAGAGAGGAGAGGGAGCGAGGGACGGGGGAGGGACGGAGCAGAGAGAAGGAGAGGGATGAACGCGGGGAGGTGCACTTGTAATGAGGAATAACACGTGGCTTATATACAGAAAGACGACAGGTTGGAAAAGAGAGGCCATGAGTCATGAGCAATTTTGCTAACAGATTGGAGTGTAGGGAGAATGAGAATTGAATGATTACCTCTACAAGGCCGGCCGTCTGGTCTTCTTCTTCATCCTGGTCTAGACCTGGTGCAATATTGGATCTTACTGGATCCAAATTCCCAGTAAAATCAAGCTGACAGGAGGTGGAATTCCCTCCCAGCACTCCCCCCCTCCTTTCCCCTCCCCCATTAGACACCATGTCATCCTCGTTTCCATTCCCCGTTGCACTCGCTCCCACCGACGTCGGCGCCATAACTGGAATCTCTCTCTCTCTCTCTCTCTCTCTCTCTCTCTCTCTCTCTCTCTCTCTCTCTCTCTCTCCCCCCCCCCCGTCTGACTGTGTGCAGCGAGCAACCGTGACTTCCTGCTGCTGCTGCTGCTCTCTGTGTGTGTGTGTGTGTGTGTGTGTGCGTGTGTGTGTTCCGTGTGAGCGTGTGAGCAAGCGAGCGCCTATCTTCCTGATGTGCCGACGACCAACCAAGAGAGAGTTCAAGTTTCGTATCCAACGGCTGTACCAACGTCCCAACTGATGTACCAAAAGTCCCAACGGTTCCGATCGATCCCGCGGAAGCGGGAGTGGACTACTTGCTGCAACACCCCTGCTCGCCGTCTTCTTTCGTCTTTTCCCCTAGACGGTAAACAAATATGTTATGCCGCGTCCGCGCGGGATCTTTCCTCAACGACTCCTTTTTTCAGCCGCCGAAACGCATGAATTGTCCTTTTTTTTTTTTTTTTTAGACAAACATCCCGAGTAGATGCTAGAAGTGCTAGCAGACACCTCTAGCCCCACAGGGAAGGCTCCATCTATTGGTGGGGAGCAGCACCTGCTGGAAGACGGGTCCAGCGTCCCTTGGATACAACTTTCCACTGCAATGTTTGTTGGGCCTGTGGCCATTAGAGTTCCTACCCCGGAGCATCGTCTTTCCCTTGGGGCTGCATGAGTACCCCTTCCTTTTTGTGGAGCTCCTATTTCCCACTGGGGTAGCTCCAATCTATTCGTGGGGAGCAACACGTGCCGGGAACCGGGCCCAGCGTCCCATATAGAAAATTACATAGGTTTTTGAAAAAATTTAAGAATTGGAAAAAAAGAAACAAGAGGATCTGGCGGCAGGCTGGCGGCGAAGGGGCGCTAATTTACCGAACAGCACAACGCACTAGCGCTAGCACAGGCAGGGTCCTCGTTTCAACCACGGGTACTGAGGCGGCGGTAAATCCATGGGGGAAATTCTTACTGTTGGATACCTAGGTTTCACCGCGAGCTTCGTCCTCAAGGAACAAGCCATAGCCACGCTGGCTAGCAGACAAAAGTGACGTAGGCTAAGTGAGCAATGATAGAGAAGTGGGAATGCATAGTGGCCCAGAAGCTAGGAAATGCCGAAACCTTATCAGAGGTAGAGGATAACCCAGCTAGTAATTCTCCCTGGGTTTGGGAACTTCGTACGGACTGAGCAAACACAAGGGTGAGCTCAGCAGAGGAAGGAGGTATCAAGCAGCCAAGACGTTGTCGCATCACGAGATCCTCCACCAGAATTCCAAGATCAAGATGAAGAAAGGGCAGTGGGCCTGACTCAAGATCGCTCATCTTGAAGTTCCAGCCTCTCGGCCAAGGGGGTAGTTTACGTTACCTCGTCAAGAGAGGAAAGATAAGCTCTCTATGCTTAATGGTACGCTCGACTGGAACTCTCGGAGATCCGGATTCAGTACACTGGTTGAAGGACTGCTCAGTCTATAAACCAGGTAATTGTCCTATTCTCCCCGGCTTCACCCGATTTACTTCATAGGAGAGGATGGGGTTGACGTCAATCTAATTGAGCACATATAGAATCGTAATACGTATGCAGCACAGAGTATGCTCATTCTGCCCATTATCTCCTCTCCCTCAGCAGTGGGATGCTGCTCAGATCTCAGCAAAGACGAGGAGTAAAAAGCGCATGGCCAGCAAATAGAGACCTCATCCTCTATTCCGGTCTGGATAAGTTACCCACATGGTGGGAAGTCACGAGTGAGGTAAGGATGAGTTTCCTCTGGCCAATGCTTTTCTCTCCTCAATGGCGATGAACTCGTCCTGAATCCCCCTGAATCTAGAGGTAGGAGTACTCTGCCTCATTACGTACGAAGATTGGTGACGAAATATAAGCTGAGGTCGGACTGATCTCACATTGGTAACGCAGATTTGGCCTCCTTTTGCATGATTTCGCCAACAATTACGCACCGTATGCACGTGTTGCGGTTTGCATCCTGCTGTTGAGGGATGTGGGAGGAAAAGAGGTTTTTGTAAGGGATCTGGCGATCCTCACGCAATGGGATGTGGTGATGGGGAATTCGTCGGTTACCGGGTCCAAAAAGGCCTCAATAGTCGTGCGACGTGCGGTGTGCTCTCATGGAAGCCAGACTAAAAAATTGGGAGTCCATAGTGCTTTCGGTGGTCCATTTCGCTAATTTTCATCGGATCCTAATTCCTTGCCATCTGTGTTGCACTAGGTGAAGAAGCCGGTCCTGGAAATTTTGAATGTCCGGGATGTGATCGTTGGAGTTGTCCTGGTTAACCACGTTGTGAAGTCTTTTGTGAACATCCATTTCATGCGCATGTCGTCGCCCTGCTAACAACTTCGAATATTCTTTACATTTTCTGGCTAGAAAGAAGAGTCTGTTAGTGAACCATTGGAATTTCGAGTCGAAGAAGTGTTTTTGCTCTCTCCAGAAATTCCAAAACATCTCGAATGTATGTGTGAAACGATTTGTCCTTGAGCAGGGATGTATTAAGCTTGTGATATCCAGGTCCTTGATCCGGTCGTTTGCGAAAGGAAAAGATGGCTCCGCATAAGCGATGGTCCAGGCCTGGGTGGGGGCTTTGTGGGAAGATGGTGGTCAGGGTATTCAGAATCTCCTGCGAGAGTAAGATTAAGTCTATGCGTGACTTGGAGTGTCTGGAGTGGTCGTTGGTGCGAAAGCACGTATAGGTCTTCTCAGTTGGGTGCAAGTGTCTATACGCGTCTACCAGATTCAGGGTTTCACAAAAGTCTGTCAGTATCCTTTCGTCCTCTTCTACATAGCTCGGATAGTGGTCGTGAGAGCCCCCTCTATCCATCCATCTATCAGGCGCTGCATTGAAGTCACCGGCAATGATCAGCGGGACTCCTTGAGGCCCGAGAGCCTGTAGGTGGGTGAAAACAGTGCCCTATTTGTTGTTGTGTTGGGGGCATATACACAAAAGATGCTAATTAGTTTGATCTCAAGCATCCTCAGAATTGATACCCACCTCTCTTGTTCCTCGTCTTCTACCCAATTTACCACCTCTAACCGGGACTCTGGCGGGATCTATATGGCTACCCCAGTTGAACCTGGTGATTTCGCATGCGCACTGTATGCCTGAAAAAACCATACTGTTTTGTGGTCCCGATGATGTTCTGGTTTGTCCATTAGATGGGTTTCTTGAATGCAAATGACATCGGGCCACATTTTGCCACCCACACCCTTCAACTGGTCCCAGATCGCCTGCCTTTTCACGGGGTTGAAGGAGGCCGAACCGTTCACATTGAGGGTCCTTATGTCCAGATCTGCGTAACGGAGGCAATGTTTCCAGTGCGTGTTCCTGCAGTATAATGTGTCAATTTCGTCCATTAGTATTGTCCTGTCAGCTCCCGCTCTGGAACTAGACCCTTACCCATGGTCTGGCGGACCAGTCTATTATACATAGAAGCCCGTTCCGGAGGACTCTCGATAGACACGTGCGTAGGTCCTCCTCCGTCCAAAATGGATTGGCTTTAACTTGTTGGAGGGGCAACTCCATCAGGGCTCCATAATTGAACCATTTCAGATTGGAGCCCTTATCCTCCTCGAAGAGAACGTACAGATCAGTGGTAGTTACCCTCATCAAACCATCACACTGGGGGAGGGTTGCCAGGACCTCGACCGGGTAATGTTGGTGTAAAAAGGGGTCTGTTTTTTCTTGAAATTGCTATCTCTCGGACCGGGGAGGGACCATATATTATAGAAACCCCACCCTGGCAGTGTGAACCCCCCTTGTAGTGGAGAGAGTCCTATCTCCATCCTATCGCCCACGTATCTCAGTGGGATAACTGCCACACCTTCTTTCTGCTGCAGATTCTTCTCGTATTGACCTGCTTCCACCAAGTGCCTAAGCTTTCTATGGCGCGGCTTGTCAGAGCGAAGGTCGACCGGGAAAAATAAACGGTTCCCCCCGGGATCTTCCGAGGGTGGTTGGTATTGCTCCGGGGTGTGAAACTGCTGGGCTGTGAGGTGGCGGATCCGCTGGAAGATCTCGGTCCAGGTGATGTGCAGGGGGGGGGGGCAACTTCTAGGGCATTACACAGGGTTGGTCTCTTGTCTAGTATGGCAAACCGTTGGGCATATGAACAGTCCTAGAAGTCTTGTATCCCTCCCGGGTGTTGAACACGGAAGCCCTCAATCAGTCAGTCAACAATGATTCTCAATTTTTGTTCCGTGTCCATGTCTGCTGGTGCACACGTGTTCTTCTGCTGGTCAATGTCCATTGTAGCCAGGTCCAGGGGGGGAGGGAGGGGGACGGGAGATTCCTCGATCTCCATGGGTTGCGAACCAAAATCCCCTTCGAGGGAGTCCTTTGTGAGGGGCTCCATCTGGGCTTCCTGCTTCTCTTCCTCTAGAATACTCGTTCCTTGGTTCTCCTCAGATCCCGTCACCTTTTCTGCTACACTCGCGGCCTCCTCCTCCCACCTCCCTTGTATGTCCGCGGCCTGCTGGCTGCCTTCCCCCTTCTGTGCGCGGGCGAGCTTGGCTGGCAGGTGGTCCTGAGCCGCTTGCAGTTCCTTTATCGGGGCCTGGAAGTGTGCCACTGATATCTTAAAAAGCCTTTGGAGTACCTCCTCCCATTGTATGTGGCTCGGGAGGCCCTGTTCCAAAATGTGCCTCACCCTTGTACTATCCTCGAGGGCCTTCCTAAGCTGTGTGTGAGCTTGGGGCCAGAAATCCTCCGGGGCCTCTGCATTGAGAGACTGAAGACCTGTCATGATCCAATCTATGATTTGCACAGGGGAGGGGTTGCGGTTCTGGGCGAGCGCAAGGTCTGACGGGTTGTCCCTCCCTTCAACACTCCGCTCCAATACGCCGTCATAAGGGTCCTTCGTACCTGTGTCTGAGTGTAGTTTATTGGAGGGTTGCATGCGGGTTTCTTTTCCATTGTGGGCGGTTTGCTGAGCGTGACAAAGTGCAGCATAAAGGTTTAGTGCCAAGGTGACACGACAATTTGTTTCCAGGTGGTCTGCCTTTTTGGGTTGTGACAGTCTGACAAAACCCCACTACGTGGCTGAAGTTGAAATTTTGTTCTTCCTTTCTTTGACATTGGGATGCTTTGTGTCGCACCTCGGGGGTGGATCAAATTGTGGGAGTGGTGTGGGCTTGCACATGAGTGGAAGTCGTTGACCTATCTTTGATGTTTTGTTCATTCTGGAGATTGTGTGCAGTGTAGGGATGTACATAAGTACAGAACTGTTCGTTTTCTGACATTTGT